CAAGCACCAACAAGCCGCAACAAATGAAAAGAAAAAGAGCAGCAGCAACAACAACAACAGCAACCAGCTATAACTACAACAACCAACACAACCAACTACAACAACAACAAAAACTACTGCATCCATTGAGCCAAACAAATCCCAACATCCAACAACCAAGCAGCCAATCCATGCACATGTACAAAGGCAAACAAAAGGCCAGACCTGGACTTGCTGAAGAGTTTTTGGGTTTGGGGTTTCCAAGGAAACTTTTTTTAATCATTGTGCGAACAAATCCGGGTTCCAAAAGGGACCAAAAACCGTAAAAAAATTGATCAAATCTGGGATTTTTTTATCGTGATAATTTAGTTAATTATCATGATAATTAATTTCTGGAAATGAGCCGTTCTGGGACCTCTTTGGAGTCCATTTGGGTCCCATTTTGGAACCCTTTTTTTGAGACCTGTGGCAAGGATGTTCCAGAATTTGGATCGGTTAGGATTGATTGTTTATGTGAAGAGGGGGGGTAGGTCGGATAAACAAACGCATCAACACTAATGACATGGCCACCAATTGGACGGAAACGATTCGTGACATCGCTGCTTTGTGGTAAGAATGCGCCTGTGTTTGCTTTGGAGACATGAGCTGCCAGCAAGGTTCTTTTGCCTCCGAACTCCCAGGATGATCGTGCTGCATTGAGGTTCGCACGCTCCGTGGACAGGATGTACGAGGACTGGTACGACACCAAGATGTACAACAAGTCTTTCGGTGAACCTTCCCCACGCAAATGGAGCGAGTGCCTTGAGTTGCACGAGTAAACATGTTTACTCTTGCTCGGTAGTAGGACAATACCAATACGGTGATACAGGTGATGTCGATATGATATTGACATTGACCTTGACATTTTTTTGATATTACTATTACGATGATTTGATATGATTCGATTTGATTATATATATATATATGATTCATATGATAATTCGTGACGTGATATGACAGTCATAGTCATAGTCATAGTGCGGCGTATAGGGGTCTCATGGTGGACAGTTGAGGGTAAGTAACAAGATTCTTTTCCTGCTGGAGGCATTGGCCGCAAGAGCTTCGTCGCCAGGGATGGTCACCAGTCAGGACCCCCCAAGCGTTCGCCATTCTACAAGGATTGGAAGAAGACAGGCAGTGGAAGTGAGGACGAATCACTTGACTCTGACTGCTGATCTTTAGGATCTGAGGGAGGGGAAGTGCTAGTTTGGGTTGCCGTTTGCTTCAGAGAGGGATTGAGGTCTCAACTGTTTGCTATTGTTTATTTTTTGCAGACATCTTTCATTCAGCTTTGTGATATATGATATATGTTACAGTGTGTTTGTGTTTCTGTGTGCGTGTGACTATGTCCCCTCAGGAATCTCAAATCTTGACTCGACTGCCTCCCTGTTGTGGATTTGTTTCTTAATATTCGTTTTTCCAGTTGGCGGTGGCTGTTGATTCGATCACGGAATTGGTGGGCAGAAAGTCAGGAGGAGATAGGAAGCGTGTTTTGCAATCCAACCACCCAGGGTGGCCTACTGTTTGAAACAACTTTGAGACGAGGTTGATTTTTACAATGTTTGTCACAGATTGGATCCGTTGCAAAAGTAGCTCGAGTCTATCGACTGTTACTTGCTGTTGTTTTTTTTGCACGCCGGAATCACCCTGGGGACTGCACACTGCACTGAGCACTTCAAGTTGAATAGTACGGACTGCCACTTACCACTTACCACCTTTAGATGTGGACGTGGAGCAACAGGTAGGCGTGAATGGAAGACAAATAGGATGCTTGAAAAAAGGACTTGCCTTTGCGGACAGTGCGTTGTTCCTCGTTTCTGCCATGTGCCCGTCTGATTTGAAGATAGTTGGGGATTGATTGAAAATCCGTTGCATGATCTCAGATCTCTCATTCTGTTGCTTTTGGGTGCCATTGCTGCAGACTGAGATTTGCCAACAATTAAGATTAAGATTAAAGATTCAAGATGTTTGAATTTGTGGTGCTTCTGTTCAAGCCATTTGTGGTTAGCACTGCTGCCATCAATATCTTGTCGCATACCTTCTTGCTTCGATTCATCTTCATCGCTTGGAAGCCGTAGCCTAGCCTGAGATTCAGACTATGGGACGTAGCAAGGGCAGCGGCACTCCGAGCATCAAGTGCAAGTTGTGCAAGAAGGCGTTTGACCAGGATCCGAATCCATTAGTGAAGAATCCTGGACCCAATGACCTTGTTCGGCGCCGGTGTGCAGGGAGCAAAGATTGCAAAGCATGTTCATGTTTTGTCAAGAACCACCCGACCTACAAGGAGATGACACCAGCAGCGCTCGAAGAATGGCTTCAAAAGCCAGAGAACCAGCAGGAATACGATCGTGACTTTGATGACTACGCTGAGCAACGACGAAACGGGAAGCGCAAGATTTGTCTTGAAGGCCAATTCTTTTGGGCAGCGGCATGTACATTGTTACATATCATAATATATAATATAGATTATTTTGATATGATATGCATATGATCTGCTAGGCTATGCTGATATGCAAATATGCAGAATGCAGTGTACAGCAGTAACAGCGCAGCGTAACGTAACAGTGTCCAATTGTTTATTTAATGGGCGGGGATTGATTAGGTTAAATTTCATGGTAGCACTTTGTCATTGTCTTTCGGGATGGCTGGTCTGAATCAATTCCATGCTCATATACTTTTCTTTAAAAGCACTTGTTCTCTTCTCAACATCAACATCGTATGCCCGTGTGGCCATTATGTAGGCCAATCTACAGCTACAGCTGAGCAATCCAGCGGTGTGAGCACCAAACAGATTCTGGGCTATCTATGGACACCAGCCATGGTCAAGAAGCACAACAAGGACGTCGAGAAGAAAAAGAAGACGTCTGTCATGCACCATGGCAAAACCGTCCGTGGGTACGTATTGGACGAATGGGTTGTGGGTGTCTCAACCTGTCCAAGTAAATGTTTTTTTTAATGACAATGACTATATAAACATATATAAAAATATTCATTGTTTTAAACAGTTTTAAACTATGACTATGTTCTATTTAGTTTAAGAGAATAGTAATAAACACAATATGTAGATAATATACATACAGTAAAGCGTTTTCAAAAGTCTACGGGTCCCAAAGTCATCATCATTGATTGCCACTACCGCTACCCATCTTGAGGTGCCATCGAAATTGCCACTACTTCCGCAAAGACCGCAAAGCAAGTCACCACGCTTGCTGAGGGCAATTCAGATGATGAGGAAGAGGTTGGGGATGCATTCAATCAAGCACAGAAGAAGCTGCGCGGGACTGCATCCATCAACGATGATGCAGACGTCACATTGTAACTTAGCTGTCCTTGTAGCAACAAAGTTTGGGTGAAGAGATGTTACTGGTTGTTACTAAAGGTACTAAAAAAGCAATCATATTGACATTAGGTTTGTCACTGATACCTGAATTAGTTTTCGAATCTTGTTCGATAACTGATCTACTGAGAACATTTATACAATTACAACTATAATAGACTATACATAGTAGCAGAACAGTATAGTATAGACCACAGTATAGACTATTTTGAATCTATTGCCACTACTGCAAAGTCAAATGCCTTTCATCACCACTTTCTAAGGAGGTCAGCCAAAGCCAGCGGTAGTGATGGTCAGGATGAACTACTTGCAATGCTCTGGGGTGATGGGCCTGGGTCAGATGACGAGGATGGTGAAAATCCAAAAAGACCCAAGACGGGGAGAGCCAATCGGAATCGCGAAAAGAATCAACAAGCCGATCGCACCAACAAGAATGACGGTCCCAATGAGGGTGCTCCGAGCGCTTGGTCCTTGTCGAATGCGGCTTCGGGATCCAACAAGAAAGTTCTTGCGGAAGCCAGGGAACTCGACAAGAGTGAGGCATTGGTTCTCCAAGCCAATCAATTGAAACTGCAGGTTGAAAATCCAAAAGCAGTCGTGACAATTGCTCTAGCAAAGGTGACTGGTGTCCTCTCCAAGCTTCAGGCAAAATTGGATGATTCAACTACTTGGTTCGTTGATTTGGTTCGCCGAGATGGTTCTGGATGCCGTGCCGAAAGTGTATGGCAGCAGCTGAAGTCATCCAAGGCTATGCTGGAAACCATTAGTGAGTTCGTGGAGGCAGTCCATGATCAGGAATCAGCGCCGGCTACTTTGCGGTTGAGGGCTGCTGCCGTGAGAAAAGGTGGTGTTTCCCTTCCTCGCAACATCAACACAGTGCTGCTGAAGCGCCAGGCTGATGAACTTGTCCAAAGCGGCAAATTCGCAGGCATCTTGGAATTGGTGAACCCTGCCAACAAGGGCGAGGAAAGCATGCTTGAGTGCATCTCCTTTGACGAGAAGGAGACTGAGGAGCAACGGAACATCATCATCTCTGACTTCCAGTCCAGCTTGATCACTCATGTCATCAATAACCTCTTGCTGAAGGAGTTCCAATGTGAACAAGGGTGCCTAGTCCCTTCCGTCTAATACCCTTTTGAAGTTTTTTTGGGGTGTTCTCAAATTCATGACTAACTATTGACTATTGACTCTCATGAACTGTATCACTGACTACTACAAATCTGCAGTCTCAAAAGAACATGCTTTTCTGGTTGGAGTCAGTTAGTAGTAATACGGTAATACGACATTGTATTTTATGATGCTCGTCTATCTTACTGGTATTGTTGGTTATTTTGTTGCCCAGCTAATCTTTGAGGCTTGATGATGCCGCGCGTGAGAAAGCCAAGACAAAATTCTTCGTGGAAGGCTCTCAGAAGGTGATTGAATTCATTGATGCCCTCCAGAAGAACAGCATCTACCAGTCTGCTGCGCCAGACAAGTCTACTCTTCGAGATGAACTTGCGAAGATGAACCAGCTTTGCCGTGCAGCAACCTCAGATTCACCTGTGTCAATTACAGATCTAGATTCTTTGGAAGCTGCGAAGGCAACACTCACAAAGCCCAAATCTACTTTCCATGCCGGGATGAGTATCTTTCCAGTGGGCGCCTTTGTTTGCGATGCAGTTTCCAGCAAGATTTCTCAATGCAGGCAAGATCAACTCTTGGCAGCAGATATTGATGCAGCCTGCGAGATTGCCAGGAGCTTTCCGGACTTCACCGCTGAGTCCATATCGAAGGAGCGGGACGGTGATTATGACATTGGCGTGCCCTCGCAGAACAAGATCTATGAGATGGTTGCCAAGATCCGCCTCTTTGATGAGACAGCCTCAGAGCATTTGAAAACCTCGCTTCAGCATGAAGTCTCAGGGGTAAAGGACCGTATCAGTCAGTTGCAGTCGGCCTTGCTTCGGACTGTGGCACTCAAGTTCGAGAAGAAGTTCTCATGTTTCAGCCATTCCATGGGCATGGTGGCCAATGGCCAACAGAATGAACAAAATTCAGCTTCTTGCATGCAGATGTTGAATGACATGTCCACTTACCAGGCATTGCCACCAAAGATGTCATTGGTCAAGCTCTTGGGCAAGGAGAAGGCAACGGAGGTTGACACAGCTGTTGCTAGCATCACACACTTGGCTACACTGATGCACAAGGCTTTCCCACAAGTTGTGCAACTAACAACCAGTGCAGCCACTGAGGGCCTCTTGACAAATGAGTCCGTTGTGGCACTGTTTGCAAGTCTGCATGATTCGAATATCCAGAAAGCTTTTGCATCAGCAGCACCAATGTGGAAGTCCACCATTGAAGACCTGGATACCTTCATCCAGAATTGCGTGGCGAAGACATTGGTCAAAGCAACAGACACGTTCCATCCCTTTGTCCTAAAGCTGCTGGGTGAGATTGACGTGGATTCAATGCTTGATGCAAAAGTTGTCGGTCTTCCTGCAGATGGGGAAGCAGAAGAGCAGGAGTCAAACGTGTTTTAGTTTTGTTATTTAGTGTCTTCGGATCCCTGCTATTGTTATTCTACAAGATGGGTAGAATCCGTTACCGTTACCGCATCCGCTCTTCAATAAAATCAAGTTTTTGTTGACTTGTCTTTTGACTGGCGACTATAGACTAGACTATAGACTATAGAACTTTAGGCTACCATCAAGTAACATGCCTTTTATAGAAAATATCCAGTCCATACATAGTTACATAATGTAACGTAGTGGATGACAAGCCGTGGAGGATGGGAAAGATGAGCTGGACTATGGCATGATCTTCATGAAGTATGTCAGCTTCACGCCCCTCCAAAAGGCCAAGCTGATGGTTCGCAAAGATCCAAGTTCTTCAGCCTTGTCGGAACAATGGGTGTCTACAAGTTTCCTTTGCCTGGCTGGGTTTCTACTACATATCTCCAAGACCGTGCTCCTTTTCATGACGAAGGTCCAAGATGTTGAGGGAATCAAGCCATTCGCAGACTTGGCGAAGGTTGAGCATGAAGACAAGGCCAAGAAGACGAACACCAAGCAAACATTCAAAATGAATGTGCTTGATGCTTTGCTCCCACATTGTGGCAGACTTACCAACAAGTGCACTTCTTTCCAAGACATGGTCAACCAGGCAGGCAAAGTCAATACCGTTGTGGAGAATGAGCAAAAATATTTCGGGCTCCTAATGGAGAAGCTCTCCGGATGCTTGGTACAGTGCCTTAAGGCATGCACAGAAGAGATTGTCAGCATTTCAAAGCTCATCACTGAGCTCTTCGTCAAGGTGATGAATGCCCATGATGTTCCAGCTATGTTCCAGTCACAGTCAGACCGACTGGACAGCAAAGCCATCTCCGCTTTGGTGCGAGATCCGCATGTGCAAATCCTGCTGTTTGTGGGCGCGAAAGGAGGCGAGTTGTCACATCAGGTGAAAACCTTTTTGGACACACTTTCGAGTTTGCCAAAGGCATGTGTGACTGATTTTGTCCGTACACTTGCCACAGCAGTCCAGAAGGACTTGTCGGATTTTTGCAGCAAAGCCCACCCACAGGTCATGCCAACCAAGGAAGACAAGATGACCTTGGCACATTTTTCATACTTTCAGGCATCTCTGACTCTCGCTCAAGTCCTCAGTCGTGACCTGCAAACGGGAGAAACACGGCTTGGCCTAGCGGGGAAATGCCTGAGCGTCCTCCAGCGCAAGGGCATGGAGAGCGATCCTTGCCTTCAACGCCGGGTTCAACAGCTGAGATCCGGCAAGTGAAGAAGTCAGGTGAGTTTAGACCAGTCTTTTACTGGAAGCATCAATTCAGGTCCATGAGGGGCTCTGATGTTGAGATGTCAAATCTGTCCTTTGAATGCCAGATGGGTTTAGCTGGCCAGTCAGAATGACTCGACCAACACAGACAGCTCCAGAAGAAGAGAGTGAGAGCGCGCTGAAAACAACAAACGAGATGAGACGGCAATCTTCAGATGGCGATTTTCGATCGATTGTGCAATGTTCACATGTTCATTTTAATGAACTTCCCAAAACGTGCCAAAACCAAAACATTCGATATCCTCACCATTGCCACTTTGCATGTCGCTCAACACGTTTTCTTTACTAATACTGTACTTACTAATAATAAATGACTAATGTAACTAGTTACTTTTACAAACAGCTGTTGACATGTTTTTTCAACTGAACAAAAAAAACGATATCTACAAATATGAAAATACTAGACTAGACTATGACTATGACTATGTATACATGTATTGAATTGCACTACTGGTGCAACCAAATTACAATTGTTAACAAATCAAATTCGTAGATTAATTCTGCTAACCGCCTATTAACATGTAAACAAAAATATTTGTCAAGAGTTGTTAATTGTTAAGATTCGGTGCCAGCACGTGGCAAAACTTTCACACTTATCATAGTCTAATAGTAGTTGATCATCATTTATGAACAGTATTTCTCCTAAATAATCGCACACAATTCTAAAAAAATGATCGCAGTGTCGAAACAATTATACGCAGAAATTGGTTCAAAAGTATCGGGATCAAACATGTATCGATGAAAAGTTATCCAACATTATCATGATAATTAAAAAACATCATTATAACTTATCCCAAATTATCATGATAATTTATCCCAAATTATCATGATAATTTAAAATATTATCACGATAATTTATCCAATATTATCACGATAATAAAAAAAATATCATGATAATTTATCCAAAATTATCATGATAATAAAAAAAATTATCATGATAATTTATCCCAAATGTTCATGATAATCAAAACCATTATCATGATAATTAACCTAATTATCATGATAATAAACGCTAAAGAAAACGTGTTTGAGCGACTGCCTAAATCATTGTCATTTGCAGAGGCTCCCCAAGCCGCGGGTGGCATTGGAGGCAGGGTGGACGTCGATCTTTTCAAAGGAAGCTAGCCTCGAGCATTGCAAGAAGCATGGCAGTGGAGCCTTGCGAGAGCTTGTTCCTTGTCAATGTTGTTCGAACTTTGATGTCTCAATTGAAGGGACCCCTAGGCTGCGCCATGTTCCCCAGCGGTCAAGTTCAAGCCAGTTAATCAAGCCTACGTTCATTCATGTATTAACTGGGAGCATGAAAATCTGGCAGGCTGCTAGGCGGCTTAGGCGGGTTGCTTTCAAATGACTTGCCCAAAAGCAGGTTGAATGACTCACGACCGTGACCATGTGACACTGGTGGTTACAAAAAGTATTCCAAGTTCAACCCAACCTGGAAAACTTAAAACAGCTCCAACTGGGGTAGATCAAGAGAGCAAGGCGAGCAAGGGAACGGCAACTTTGCGAGGCTCACCCCATATTAAGCGTGTTCACGGCACCATGTAATTCGCAGGATGCGGCTGGCACCACGCCCCTCATGCCTCCCAAGCCGTCACGCCTCAGGCTGTCACACCCCGACCCGCTCACAGGCGGCTCAAGAGGACCTCCCGGGTCCCGGAGCGACGACTTCCGTCGCTCCATCGTCGGTGTTCGCCGCCATGAACCCGGCCTTGAAGCGGCAGTTCGAGGCGGCCACCGCAGTCGATAAGGTGGTGGAGAAGCAGAAGCTGGCGCGGGAAGGGGTCGGGGGATTGAAGACCCGGATGATCAGGAGGGCGTGTTGAGCATGATAATGTCCGCTCATTTGATATAGTAGCCTGTTAGTCATTATAATATATATATATAAAGTAATATATATATATATATATTTTGTATACACGCTTAGTATGTATGCTGTATGATGTGTGCAATGTTGGAGGACATGGTCGTGATATGTCTTGACCATACTCTAGGCCATGAGAATTGAGGTGATCCTCAGACCGGAGGCTGTTTGATGCCTTTCGGATGGTGTTCTTTTTCGGGGACACTGGCATATGCTTTGCATGTCACCCAGCAAAGCTATTCGGAAGTCGTTCCATACTTGCATGCACAAGAAGTAGGCTTCAGTCGCAAGACCTCTCGCCACATAGATTTGGACTAGACTCTGACTAGACTGATCGCAGGTTTTCAGATGACTTTTGGGCGGATGGTTTATGGGTTCATGGATGACATGCATCATAGAAGTGCGAAGTAGCGGAAGACACATTAAGGATTGAGGAACAATCATCGTGTTAACATGTGGTGATATTTTCTCATGGCTATGGCGGCTATGTGGGTGTAGCAGAGCCCACTCCTTGGACGGCAGGCGCGGGGCCGTGAGATGGGCACGGTCCTGGACTATGACGCTTGGAGACACGGGCAGATCTGGGATACACCAAAGACACCTGCGATCACCTGCGATCTGTGATGAACTGTAGGGTTGCCGTGTTTGGTAGGCAAGTGCTTGGAGAATCATGGAGTATTTGGTTGGGAATTTTCGCTGTTGGGGGAGTGACTGATGCCCCCCCGCCTAGTCCCAACATCGATCGATTGGTTTGGAAGAGACTTCATGTTGGGTGCGAATTTGGGCAATCCGAGGACAAGACAAAAGGCTTTGGCTTTTTGCTGGATGGAGATGAGGACTTGATTGGATGGTGTCCATGTGGACGGTAGCGCCATTGTTTTGGGACCGGATGACCTAATCCTTGGAGGGCCGGGCGCTTGATGATCAGCTGCAAGGTACGAAGGTGACGACCTCGGTTCCAGAACAAAAGCAATCATTTTACATGACCCTTATCGAAATACATGTGAAGACAGGGGAAGATGTCTCTTTTCCGAGCTTTTATGTGAATTAGTCAAAGCAGTTGGCGCTCCTCGTGTCGTGATGGGACTCTGAACGGCAGGAGAAGATCTTCGTCCATCAGTCACAGATCATTGCGCCGGGCTTCCGCATGCTGGTGAAGGATCAGAAAGTCTCCTTCCTGCGCGGCGAGAATCGCGGAAAGCCGTGGGCTGAAGATGTAAGGAATCCAGATGGGTCTCAAATTACTCAGGAGAAGCCTGAGGAGTCTTCCTCCAGCATTGCAGCTTGGCTTCACATCATTCCGTGAAGACCGGACTTTGAACCGGAGAGGTGCACAGATGTTTCCACACAAGGGAGCAGCCCTCCAAGGTGACATGACTGGGTTTCTTACGCTTGGATGTGCTCGGTACAGGCTGAGCTGTTTAAGCGGCACCAAGGCGAAGGGTTCCACAGTGACTTCCACTCCCTTCGACTCCGTAAGAAGTCCTCTCTTGTGTGAGGGGTTAACGGAGTCGATCAAAACGAAACCTGGTGCGATGAGAAAGTGGCCATCCAGGAGTTCACAGAAACCATCGGACTCCACGCAATTGATTGGTCCAACCCTAACTTTTGCCCTGACCAGCCATGACCGGCCCAGGTATTGAAATGAGAAAGTATAATGGAAGGCCCAGCTACATATCCTGGGAACCTGAGTATCCCCTGTTTTGGAGGATGAACTGTCCTAAGTGTTTTTCCTATCAACAAGATGGGGTCACCCAGGTTCTAGAGACATGAAACCTGTATAGTATCACTCTCAGATCTTACCAAAAACACATTTCAACATTTTGTGGTGTCGTTGCCGCATCAACTCTCAAAAAATAGACCTCACAAGTTCTCTCCACGTCACATGTCGCTATGTTTGTGCCACCACAAGGGTGTCGTGATGCGTCCACGTCACATTCATCGAGGCCAAGAAGCGGAGGCAGCAGCTCAAAGAGCAATGGCGGAACTTCTTTGAGATACCGATGCTTGGAGATGGAGATGGATGGAACTTGGGGGGCGGTGGGGCACCGCCCAAGTTCGGAAGAACATGGGGGAGAGTGGCGGCCAGGTGGCTCGGACGGGTTTTCTTTCTGGCTTAGTGTGAGGGAAGGTCCATGGTAGCTCTATCAGCCTGAAATTGACAGCATGGGGGCTGAGGCAATCTGTTAGAGGGTAATTAGGTGGGGCGAAAGAGCCCAGTCTCCTGTCCACCTGACATTTGGTCATGAACAACTACCCAAGGAAGAACATACCATCATCGACTTGATTTTGCCTTTTCAGGTCTTGGTGCTACGCAACCAATTTTTGATTCATGTTGATTCAGTTTGCTTGTTTGATGCCTGAAATCTTGAGGGTCTGTGGAAGGAACAGGCTGACCCTTTTCGGTGTATTGGTGTAATGCGTCTCGGAGAGTGTTTGCGGACCACTGTGATCGTGATAAAGTTTGCTCAAGCCTGGATTCAACTTGTCACCGCGTCCACATCGTATTGCCGCTCATGGCAAACCTTTGCTACCAGCGCACCTTCATCGATGAGAAGCCAGAGGACAGCAGTTGGTGAGTGACTTTCCCTGGGATTCTGGTTCCGGCCGGAATAGTCTCCCTAAAACAGATGAAGTCTTCCTTCAATAGGACCCCAAGTCTGGCAGTTCTATGCTTCACAAAGTGTTCTTTCCTCCCTCGGTCAACCCTTGGCTGGTTCGTGCAAGGATGTTGCGCCCCGATTCTGCCGATCCCACAGCTGCCCTGATTTGATCGAACGTACCGACCACGAGTGGCAGAGCCAAATGCAGGTGGGAGGGCCGGAGTGGTCCCTTTCCAGGGTGGCACGGGACAGCACCACTCTCAGGGACACAGACCCGTTCTTCTAGTCATCATTATCCATGAATAGCTTGTGCCGATGGGATTTGCCCAAGTTCCAGGCTGTAATGATCCAGTACCTGACACCTTCGGCTCCCCTTGCATGGTTGTTTTGGGCGTGTCTTCACTTCACTGTGCAACTCTGAAGCATTCGGAGACGTTCGGAGACCGCAGGTGCTCACATTGTGGGAGCGCTGTGAGGGG